AGAGATTTAAGAAAAAAAAAAAAAGAAAGGAAAATAAGTTGAAAATTTAAACGAGTACGATAAACTCTTCTGCTCGTGCAAATTGAATTTCTGTTTCAGGCTGCTTATAATTGGTTATGCATACGCGGCTATGTTTGTGAGCATCTGGAGAACGAGACACGCTTGTTCCCTGTCTGTTGGCGACTCCGAATTCGCCTTGCGATTTTTTCTCATCGTCTTAACGGATGCGGCGTGCTGGGCGCCAATTATCATTTTGAAGATTAGAGCCATGATGATGTATCCTATATCAGGTAAATCCTATGTCTGCTTGTTACCAATTTCTTCCTGTGCATTCAGCTCTTCCACTTGCAATTGTCAGTTTTAATTGTCACTCTGATTAACGTTTCCGAGCCGGTGGAACAAACGTGAAACACTTTGCGATTCAAATCACCCTATAAATTCATAGCTTCGATTGACTATGTCTCTGGTAATACTAATTCATCCTCGTCATTCCTCAAGCTGACAATGAGACGAATCGAAATTTTAAATATCGCAAACATGAAGAATTAAATAGTGTTGCTTTTGATATTTAAACTTCGAGTTGTTTAATGTTTGGTTAGTACGATTTTAAAAATTGGAATTCGTGTTTCTAATTGAATATTCTGCTGCAGCTGATCTTCACGCGTGGGTGGTAGTTTTCATACTACCCGTGAACAGTGCGATTAATCCGCTGTTGTACACATTTACTACGCCGAAATTTCGAGAGAGATTAAATGACGGATGGTTTGCCAAAGTTCGTAACTACATGACACGAAGAAAATCTTCCACTAAAGGTATAACTCCGTTGCCAAAATTTTTAGAATAATTCAATTTTCAGCCGTTTAAATTCGAAAATGTATTTAATCACGATAATACACTAATGCACGTTGCTATAGCGACTTGTATGCAACTTGGTACCGTCGTTGATAAGAGTACTTGCCACTGCAGATTCGAGAACGTCCACGTTGATGAGCAACAGGAATATAATGTTGTCTTTGTCCAATGGAAAAGAGTATACCAATAAAATTCCTCCGATGCTCGATTTTAATAAGGAGAGAACAATGCAGCAGACAATGCAGTGAATTTCGTATTATACGATTGACCTGTTATTACTCGAGAGATCATAGAAAAGACAGGTATTTCTCTTGCATGATAACCATTAGTCTAAGCTTTTACCAATCAATTTGGAAAATTATAGCGAAGAAAATAAATAAGTTTTATGAACAAGTATTCTTGCTGAAGGTTTAATAGAAAGCAAAAACTTTAACTGCTATATATAATTATATGTATAACTGTTGTTATAATGTGTTGTATCTGTGTAACTGTTATATATAATTATATATCTGTATGACGAACTGTCATGAGTAGAATAAAACATAGTTTACCGAGAATTATATAATAATTATATATTTTACACCGCTGTTCGCTGATGCTGAAATAGACAGAATTTCTTATTTTATGATGCATTTTGCTCGAATACTTTGTAAAGTGATTATGGATAATATTCTATACAATAATTGTTGTTAAATTTTGCTACTGTTTCTTTGCGAAAAAGCATTAAAAAGGTTCTCATTTATTTACTAAATTCATGAATATTTACTAAAAATGTGGATAGATGATGTTTATTGAAATAGATATAGTTTTTTTTTTCATGATGTTGTAGCTTGCTCGAATACTTTGTAAATTCGATCATGGATATTCTATACAATAATTATTGTTAAATTTTGGTACTTTTAAATTTGGTAATTTTCTTTGCAAGAGAACTTTCATTTGTTTGTAATACTTGATGATAATTTCAGTTATTAGAGGCAATAAGATACATACAACATGTCTTGAAACAATGATAGAAGACTGATAATTAACAGCTTCACGACGTTACAATTTAATTGTGATTGCAATCTGTATGATCTATTAACACAGTTCAAAGATCCACAAACTGTTGATTAACTAAATTCGACCAAAGTAAAACACGACGTCTTAACACTGACGTTGAAATAAATTGAAATTGCCTAAGGACAAAGAGATCAATCACACATATGTAGAATAACGAAGTTAATATTGTATTATTCAACAGTTATCCAACGATTATGCTTGCACATCCGCCGTAATAAATCAAGAATCATTGGTTGACGAAGACTCGACAAAGTATGCAATTGTATACATAGTTCGTTCTATAGGTCGTCTGATAATTATCCTTCCTAAGCATTAAGAGCTTTTTAGCAGCGCGAAGGAAGTTAATTTTACGGTGTCGTAAAATGGCACCGACTATCGGTTTTTCTGGACAACATCTTTCATAATTAGTCACAGTCGTGACTCCGTTCGATTCGACATGCCCACGCTTTTCCTTGCCGAGCAAGAAATTGACTAGGCTATAACTTCTATAGAACTTATAGAACTTGGTGGTATACTTAACTCAATCGGAGATTAAACTCTGTATCTATCTATGTTCTAATGTATTCTCAGTAACTAATTTAATCAATTAGTCACTGTCATCGACGACAACACACGCTCGATTATTCCCGTGGAAATTCGTAATTCGTTCTCGGTGTGCTCCGAAACGTTTTCTCGGTGATTAAATTAAAGTTCCTTTAAAATTCATGAGTCGTCGCGACAGAAAGACTGCTCGACGAGCACGATAATTGCAATCTGAGTTGGTCCTGCAACCTTGTAAGAGTTTCGTCACTTTCACCTGCTAAGCAACATTTTCGCAGCAAAGTGCGTCGAGATTTTCGAGAATTCTTTTGCTCAAATTTCAAATTACTTGAAAAAAGAAAACTGATAAGTTATAATTAATTATATTGAGAATATTTAAGATAAACTTCGAGAAATTTATGGGACATTTAGAGGACTCTAATAGTAGAGTCTCTGCATTTTGCAAGGAAATTTCAAATTGCAAGAAGTTGCACAGAATGCGAGCAACATGAAAAATGAGTATACAGAGTGTAACGGGTGTTCTACTTTTGAAAATCACGCTCGCCGGGGACGCGAATCTGCATAAAGGGCCGCGAGGGATTTTCGTTCCGTAATTCAATTTCGTTTTTTGATTGTGACAAATCCCTTTGAAATTCATGAATCGTACGCGCGTGAATGCACGCGGCGGCCCAGTCACGAGAGAGAGAAATCGCGCGAAGGGTTGAGAGAATTTATAACTCGGGTACGTGCAGCCCAGTACGATGCTACTTTGCAGCGTAACGAAACAAATTGGAATGCCTTTCGAAAATTGCTACACTGACGGTGTAATTGAGTTTTCACGATTAATAAGCGCGTCGCGTACGTAACCAGACCGAGACGTGTGTAAACAACAAACGGGGAATATCGGCTGAGATATCGCGACGAAAATTAAAACGGCAATCCCGTATCATAATGAAATGTTTTTATACGGGCGGGAATCGATATTCGACTCGCGTTACGACGCAACGTAAATTATTACAGCGGCCGAAAAGAGAATGTGAAAGAAAGGAAAAAGAAAAAGACGCATCGGTTGCACTCTACGATTCACCGCCACGTGGGCCGGCTCTCTTACACGATATAATGTATAATTTATGATAGATGGCCAATGGGAGGATCCCGTTAAGGGGCCTCGATACTTCCTGCAAAACAGTTCGCCTTTTCGGACTGATTTTTCTGCCGCCTCGCCGCAGACCACGCGCGTCTTCCACCAGAAATTTCATTCATAATTCACTGTCATCTGAGAACATTGGAGCGTTGTTTCGCAATGGAGTATTTTTTTTTTTTTCATTGAATTAAATATTTTTCGTAACGTCGATTTGTTTGTAGTCGCGCGAAAGTACGTCTACAAACGATATTAAATTTAATACACTTGGATCTAACTAATTGAATTGTTCTTTTGAATCTGAACTCGATATATAGACTAATTAACCGATTTTCTTTCTTTCTTTTTTTTTACAAAAACGTTGCTAGAGTTCATAGTTATCTTTAAAAGTTTGCAAGATTCTAAATTTTAGATTACGAACGTCACAATTTTCACAAGATGATTGTAAGAAACATTGAAATCTCTTTCGTCTAACAACAAAGAAACAAAGTTGAGAAGAAACTCGTGGCAATGTTTAAAGTCGTGTTGCATCACGCGGCAAGATTGTCGGCTAATCGATAAAAGTTCGTTTGCACCGGCGTGCAAAATCTTCGTTGCATTTTAAAATCGCGTGTATGAGGATGCAGGTGAGCGTACAGTGCGTCGTCCTTGATCCACAGTAGGTGGATACGTCTGGGTGCATGTGGCTGGCAATCGTGCGCGTTGAGAAATAGCAACGAGGAGTGTGCAGTACGTATACGAGGCCCGTGGGATGATTCAATGATTTCATTTGGAACGCCGGGAGAAAAGTAAGTTACGCGACTAGACTAGACTCGCTCGTTGCGACTTATTTTCACCTGTTTCGTTCGTAGACTCGTCGTCTAGCTCGAGTCGCGTAGAAAACGAGAATCATTGTGAATTTGTTTGAAACATTGTGAAGCGACTTAAGAATAAAAACTAATCCTCAATTTTTTGAAAATTATTTCAAAAGTTGGCTTTCTCAAGACGTCTAGATATTGATTTCTTTTTAATTGTTTCGGCGATTCGAAATTACATTGTTTAAATTACATTACAAGCCGATAATCGACAGGATTAATAACTAGCTCCTTCCGTATCCTGCAACCACGTAGGTACCAATTATCCTCATAAAATCACGTTTCAATCTCTATCAAATCGAGCCTGACGCATTGAATCGATACGTTCAATTAACAAGCCTAAAAAGCTAATCATTTTTCCAAAAAAAA